CCTGCAACCTTTTGGTTGTGAGCCTAGCTCCCCACGCAATACACCCTGTGACCACATGCATGTGTTATATACAGTACAACGTGTCTGTGACCTTCCCAGTTCAGTTCAGTGGTGTGTTTCTGTTACATTTTCGAATCATTCAAAGTGTCTGATTCAAGCTGGCTTTCCAGCCGGTAGACTCACTCACACGGTGAAGATCGAAATTAAAAAGGGGGATGGTCACACTCTTAGGTCCCAGCGTCCCGTTATGGGTGTGAGAAACGCCCCCCATGCGGGGGTGCTTCTTCGCCTCCTGTTTTGAAGGGTGAGGAGCCACTGGTTGTGTGGCTCCTTCACACCTGGGCTCCCAGCAGACCGGAGAGAAGGAGGCCCGGGATCGCTTCTCCTCTGACTGCCATGCTGGAGTCCTGAACATCCCCCATGTGTGCTTCTGCTCTACTTTAGGGTTCAAAACAGCAGGCCTCGATGGGATAAAAGCTGGGACTTTGTCCTTGAAGGAAAAGGATTCTGGGTGAAATTAATCTTATCCAGAAGATACGCACTCAGAATGGCACACTTCACTTAGGAAAGTGTTCCCTGTTCTAATTGTGCTCAGAATTCACCATAAAAGGAAGCTGGTATTGATTGATTTGTTGTGCACTGTATTAAATATTCACTTTTGTCCCCCAGTGAGAGAACCTTTTGCAGGTGGTCGGAGGAGGATCCTTAGAAGAACAAGGATGTCCTTGGAGGTCCCCCAATCCTCCGATGAGGGCCGTGCGCTTTACAGAAAGTCTGATTGGAGTTATGAAGCTGCATTGCCACTTGTCTGAAAAATGTGTAGCACATATCTCAGTATGCACTCATACTGGCATCTCTTGCATAACGGGGGGTCATATTTGGGACGGAGCAACACCAAGTGTGAATGCAAACCCCATTTGTCACAGGGACGTCACCGAATCGAACACGGGACATCACGGAGCACTTTTATTCATTGATAAAACATCACAAGTATTGGCGTGCAGTTGCACTAAGTGCAGTTTTTTGTGCTTGCATTTATTTGTCGTTTTCACAGAAAGCAGCTTTTTTCCCCCTTAAATTGTCTTTTACTGGTTGCTTGGGTTTTTGTAAATCAGCTGTCAGACATTCACTAGGCCCTACAAGTTAAGAGCTGCTGAAGGCTCACTTTCACACGCAGATTTAAACAGAATGGAAGATCCATCCGTCCCTTAATGGATCAGTGTAATTTTATTTATTTGCGAATAAATTTATTTTACATGCAAAGGCTTCTGTGCTGGGAAATGTAAACCCAGGAAAGGGTTTTTGTGGGATGTGAACCTTAATGCATTAATACATTTGGCTTCATGTGGCATCTGTCTGTAGGGCTACCAAATTCAAATAATGTGCAACAGACCCAACTGCACAATCCTGTTTTCTGATGCTGTATAAGTCATGCTTTGCAGTTCCGCATAGAAATGCGGTGCACCTCAGCCATTGTCTCAAGACAGTATTACTTGTTTTTAGCCATGCTGTAATTGGCTAAAAGTCTATATGAGGTAAAGCCAGGCTTTTTCTAAGTAACAAGTACTCTTTTGGTCTAAAAGGACTGAAATATCCAGCTAAAACAATATCCATTGGCTTGACCTCTTCACAAAATTGAACCCTGAAGTTTTTCCAACTCTGTTTCAGAGCGGTTACTAATGTGAAGTTGTACATTTTGTTTGGGCAGTATCCTCACCCCAGCGGTAAAAACATGCATACAGACACATTGTGGGGTTTTGTCTCGGTAATTGAAGCCAGTTAAAAGTGTATTAACAAGTCTTGGGGTTCTGCGGCTCTTGTCCCGTTGTTGTTTGTTTCCAATGTGTCGTGTGGCCTCACGGGGTTGTACTGCTGGGACGTTTGGCGCAAAAAAAAAAAAACATTTCCTGGAACGTCAAAGGCCTGCTGAGGGGACATAAACAGAAACACCCTTTAAAAAAAGCATTTAAACTCTGGTCAGTTTGACCTGACATCACTGGTAGTTACTGATAATCAGTGTTCTTGTGTGTGTGGAAATTCAGCTGTGTTGACATTTCATTTTGGGCACTTTCCAGCCCATCCTCCTGTGAGTAAACAGTCTGAAAAGACCTGACAATTCACTTAATGGGGCCCGTTTGAATTTCATCAGCAAGCAGGTCTTTTCTCCATTTCCGGAAGTAAGTTTCTGTCGAATTGATAGGCCGAGACATGTCTCACGCTTGTGGATATCGAATGCCACGGTGAAGGTATCATTTTTTAAACTTTTACAGTCCCATGCCTATTCTGCAACAGCATTCTGTTTGATTACAGTCTCGCAGCGAGTGTCATTCTCCTCTCTCACCAGTTTTCTCTCTCGTGTCTGTGGCGTATTGCTTTCTCTATTTTAAGATGTTCAGTTTACAGTATCTGAGCTGTAATGGGAACATGATAGCTTGTTGCTAACAGTTTCCTGTAGCATTGTGCTCAGCCCTTCTCCTAATGTTACCTGTAATGATACGTGTACACTTCTGGTCTGCCTGACTAGCAGGACATTTACAGAAACAAAAGTGCTCGTCCATCCAGCTTCCTTCATTATGATTTATTCTTATGTAATGATAAACCATGTGCCTTCAGTCATGTAACATTTTTCACATCAGTCTGTATGATAAAAAGGTTACACTAAAATGATTCCATTTGCTTTTTAGTATATCTGAATGGGAATAAACCACATCTGCTTGAGGCAGAATAACAACCATTCGTCTGCAAATGTTAACAAACCCTATTTATGCCATGCTAATATTTTGCATAAAACTGGCACATCTGCCATTAGCCAGAATCTTTTGGTCTAATTTCCCTACTATTTAGCTTGGTAATTAACTTGTTTCACTAGCAAGTGTGCCAAAAAAAGTTAACTTTGAATTTCCTAAACTGATTGTTCAGTTTGTCTGATTTACTCAGTGCAAAGAAATGCAAGCTAATGCCACGAATACTGATCGGCACATTCCCAGTATGATTGATCTTGAGCAGATTTGTCAGAAGCTGTATTTTGCATCATTCTCCCTGTCCTTAGCATCTGGTTTTTAGCTAAAACATTGTCACTGCATTCAGAAGAAGCTTCTTTATTTCATCTTAGTTGATGTAAGGCAGGCCTGGCTCTGTTTACTAGTAATGTGACCACAGATGCTGCTGCCAAAGTTAACTATTTGAACCAAAACAAGCTGCTCATTAGTGCTTACTAGATCAATCAGGAACTAGGTCTTCCCACTCCCCCTCCCACAAGTTTCAGACCTTTCTTGCTTCATAAACTTCAAAGTTAGCTTTTGTTTTGCCCTTATCTTGGATTTGGCATTAATATGAAACTGTATGATGTGTAGCGTTGTGTCTTATATTCTGAAGCGAGAGAAATTTTCTCTGTGAGGTCTTCAGCTGCTCGTATGTTGTTAAATAGGGGGGAGGGGGAGGTTTCTCTACCCTTTGTTTTCAAGTGTTTTACTGTGATTAGATTTAGCATCAACAAAGTGTGAAGGGGCTGGTTAATTAGTTGCCATGGAGACCGTGGGAGAGGGGGAGGCTTTAGGTTTGGAGAGCTGTCGTGCACACTCAGCTCAATCCTTGGGCTTAAACAGGTTGAGTCAGTGCCAGGTCGGGAACCCTCAGGGCCGAAGGAAGGGAAGAACTATTTTTGATGGGACAGAACAGTGAGCTGTTAGAATGTTAGCATTGGCCTGTCCTCAGGCTAGCTCACTAGTCTCTGCACTAAAGCATCATCTAGTTAAAGTGGAAGTCTCAAGCTTTTTTCATTCTTTATGTAACCACATAATTTAAATTAACATAAGCCCACAGACGAAACTGAGTAAATCTGAAGGTAGACAAACATACCGTTTCTGCTCCCTTCCCCAGAGACAGTGAAAATCCCAGAATACCTTGTTTCTCAGATCTCACTCAAGATACATTCAGGGAATGTTGTTTTCTGGGACATAGCTATAGTTTGGTTCACAGCTTGCTCACAGATTCACTTGTAATACTAATTTAACATTCTTCATATGTAATAATGATCTCTTAAATTGTGTTTTTCCTTCCATATCTGAAATCATACTCCATTTCTGTCTGTATTTGTAACTAAAGCATGTAACATTGTTTGCTTGGCGAGAGTTGAACTTTTTTATGAATTTAAAATGATGTTGTTTTGGACTGACTTGTGAATGTTATGAACAATCCTTTCAAAGACATCTGAGGTGGTCCTGTGGGATAGTGGAACTCATGGAAAGTGTTTTGGCTGCATGTACAAAAACCAGGCATTTTGGAGGCAGATGTAAGCAGATACAAGGGCGATGCACTCAGTGGGTGTTTGGTACAGTGTGTCCAGTTTAACACCTTCACAGAGGTTAATTCTCAGATATGTTGTCTTTTTCCATAACATACAGATGAAATTTCAGGCTCCAACCATGTATACATGGTGAATGATCACTGAAGTAAGTCATTTGATAATCTTTTGCTGTATCACATTACGACACTGTTATCCAAAGTGGTTTACAGATTGAAGTGCATGAAAAGTTGCACAAACAGGACACCGCTAACAACATATGAACAAGCGCCAGTTACAAACATAGTGCCTAGATCAACATGTTCAGCACAGTATACACAACAGAGGGACTGACTATAGCATTCCAAATACAAAGCACATACCCTGAAGTAAACTTCCACATAAATAATTACACATAACCCTGAAGTATACTTACACATGTATAATTACACATAAGGGGAACAAAAGGTCACACTTGGGGAGGGGGGCTGATATGTAGCCTGAAAAGGTCTTTAGTCTACAGAAGATGGCCAGCGTCTCCATGGTTCTGACCACAACAGGAAGATAGTTCCACCATGTGGCCAAGACGGACAGAGGATGCAACTGGGATGCAGGTTTACAAGAGGGGAAGCGGCCAAGCATTCTGAAGAAGCTGAGCATAGTGGCCTTGGCTAGTGTTTCGGGTCTGACAGCGCAGTAAATGTTAATCTCTCAGGACAGCAGTGTGGTGTAGTGGTAAGAAGCTGGGCTAGTAACCTAAAGGTTGCAGGTTCAATTCCTTGCTGGGGCACTGCTGTTGTACCCTTGGGCAAGGAACTGAACCCACAATTTCCTTAGTAAATACTCAGCAGTATAAATGGATAGAATTGTAAGTCGCTCTGGATAAAAGCATCTGCTAAATGAAAATAATGTATGTATAATGTATTGAACACAGTTCTAGGTGCGCTGTATTGGTTGATGGAGATGTCATAACAGTAGTTCAAACATTTGCTGTGCCTTATCCAACTGGGCATTTACATAAGAATCGGTCAGTGTGTTACGGGTCAGGTTTTTATTTGCTCAGCGCCACGTGTGCGTGTTGCAGTGTTCGCCGTGAGGATGTGTACAGTCTGCACAAGGCTGTCAATACGCCTTTGAGGGCATTGACACGAGAAATCCGAGCGCCAACCTGCGGACCGTCTGCCCTCGTGGGTGTCAGGTTCACACACGGGGACCTGCCAAGTGGGTTAGGATGGAAACTGTTCAGGTCCTGTGGCAGCCCTCCAGCCCGCTACCCGACTGGGGAGGGCTTGATTTCCCCAAAAGACCTGCTGCTGATTTTTTTTTGCCCAGTCTTTTAAAATTGTAGTATGTGGTGAAATATTATTACTGTGATGGGCCACCCCCCACAGACTCTCAGTTGCAAAATAAAGCCATAAAACTGCATTTGAAATATGACCTGTCATTTCACCTGTGTGGGTACAATGCTTGAGGGGGAGGTGCTGATTACCCATTAGTATTCACTGTGTAGAGTAGGTGTTGATGGACAGGCCCATCAGAGCCTAAATGATGAATGGTAATTCAAAAGCCCTGGGGCAAGTACAGGCAGGGCAGGCTACAGGCAACCAGACAGTAGACCTAGAAAATCTGCCATGCTTGTAGACTATTGGATTGCTGTGTACCCTCTGAGCCAATCAGACAAGAGGAGGGTGTGGCTTGTGGATAGTTTGATCCAAACCTAAGATTGAAGTCTTTCAGCCTAATTTTATCAATTTCATATATATTTATATATATATATATATATATATATTTTCTCAATATTCTATCACATATTTTTTCAATTTCCTACCTTATGAACAAACAAAAAATAATAATTTTTAGTGTACTGTAACTGAAAACATCTGAAGTCGTCTTCACCACTTAACCCAAAACAACTGCCAAAGGATTCCACAGAACTGAGCTTGTGTTTTAGTTTGAGCCAAGTCTGCCAAGCCAGTGGCAGTCCCTTAGCTTGAAGCTGTGCTTGATCATGGCTTTTGCTAACGCGTGATCCTTATTTAAACTGGCATGCTTGTTAGCTGTGCACAACAATACACAGTGTCAGGGTGGTTATCAAATAAAAGTAAGCCCTCTGCCTCCCCTATTTCTAGCTCACCGGTTGTCACCGTGCCATGCCATGTGAAAGACCTGGCATAGCCTCCAAATGCAAAATTAGCAGCAAACAGGAGCAGTATCACAGTTAAATATAGATGTTTGGGGTGTCTGTTCAAAGCGGTATGTTGCATGGGATGTAGGAGGTTACGTTTGCTATGCTTGCTTGTGTACTTCCGGGATCAGTTTATAGCTCTGTGCTGTGCACATGGTGTGTGTGTGTGTGTGTGTGTGTGTGTGTGTGTGTGTGTGGGGCAGCTCTGTGGTGCACTCAGTGGTTACAGAACTAGATTTCAGCAGTTTGTCAGTTTGAATCCAGGTTGGTGCACTGGTGTTGCACCTTTGAGCAAGGCATTTAAACTGTGTTAAGTAAATGTTCAGCTGTATAAATGGATGATGGCACCCTGAATGAGGGTGTCTTGATGAGATGAAGTCCAGAGCTGAGAATGTTTAGGGCTTGTTTCGGTCAAAACCGTTTTTTAGAGGGAAAGAGAAGTTGCACTCTTACCCCTTTTGGATAGCTTTTGGTCAGTCTTGCTACCTCAACGCTAATGGTGGGTCTCCCAGTCATGCCAACTTGATAAGCTTGATAAGAATTATGCTTTTGTAATACTTTTGAGGTCCTTCTGTGAGAGGTCTGGACATAAAATGCAAAATGAAAATAAATCCAACTACAAAAACACAATTGTATGTCTACAGAGGAGGAACTAATATAAAAAAGGTCTGTTAGACGGGTACATAATCAAATTACAGTCTTTTTAAAGTAACACATTTCCCGGTATTTAAGCTTCCTTTGTGACAATCTGTAGATGGAAAGAATCACAACCGTCCCTTTAAACAGGTTATAAAGGCGCCACCACTCCCAGCCTAAAACAGAAGGAGCACATAGGACTGTTTTTGCAGGCGCTGCGCTAATGAGCCTAATTCCATCCGAAACCGATGTTTACTCGAGCCGTTGGAATGATGAACTCCGCTCAAGGGCACAGCAGCGGCCCATGTGCTCTGGTCACCAGTTCAGTGTCCTGATCATAACCCCGGACAGCTGTTTGGTTATCGTTCGGGTTTATAACCCCGGACAGCTGCTTGGTTGTGGTTCGGGTCTGTCACCCCGGACAGCTGTTGGATATCATTTAGGTTTAATATCTGTGGTAAATACTTCAGTGTTTTTAGGTATACGACTGATACAAGCGAATGAAATGCAGACCCAGACCGACCTCTATCTCACTGCTTTAGTGTAGTGTCGCTGGCGTGTGGCAGATGTGACGCCCTCTTTAGTTCCTCTCACCAAAGCTGAGCAGGACGAGAGGTGAGAAAGTGAGAAATGTCGTGTACCGTTTGAAACAAAAATTTTTTTGTAAAAATGCAGCTGCACCCGGCGATCACTGGGGGGCCCGGCAGGATCACGGCCCAATTTGCACACAATTGATTGGGCAACTTAGCTGTGTGACCTATTGACATGGCTTTATCAACCGGAGCTTAGCACGATAACATGGAGGGCCGAGTAAATTGAATTTAAAATATACTGCCATAAGTGCCTCAGACAGTGGGGGGAAAAAAATGAATAAAAGATTAATCTTGTAAATGAATGAATATGTAACATGTTACAGAGCAGCTAGACTTGTAGTTTGCATGTGTTGTTGCGCTGATTTTTTTTTTTTTTCCCTGGAGCACGTACAGATTTTCAATACCATTCAAAATATCAGCTGGCCATTTAGCGGAGATTGGCAACCCTGCTTGACCAAGCTAGCTGATTTAATCAGTTTAAGTTACACTCTGGTTCCGACCATGTTACAGTTACTCAAGTCAAAGCAAAATAAGGAATTTGGCACTGTATACAGGAAGCCAGTTTATTTTATTTTTGGCCTATCATGCACCCCTCTGCTGGCAAGCCCCTGCCCTGTTCCCCAGAGGAACGGAGCCCATTTATTCTCCCACCGTGGGCTACCTGTCATCGTCAGCGGATGACAAGGCTGGGATCGAACCCGGGTCGTAGAGTCCAGCTTGCAGTCAGAGCAAGCCTCAACCACTGAGCTGCTCAAGAGCTCCCTTGCAAGCCAGTTTGTATTCTAGGCAGATTTACATGTGGAACACTAATGTGTACATTTTATGACCACACAGCCATTACAAATACAATAAGTACAATAAGTACTGTGAGGGTACTCATCAGATGATCAGGTGATCCATCTTATGTGCTTACCTCATAACGAGTATATATGCATTTTTCAGAGAAGATTTGATTTCATCTTCTTAATTCTCCGCGTTTGGCAGCTGCAGAGGTCTCAGGTTTTTTTTTGTTCTTAAAAGCGCGGAGATCGATTCAGTATGTTTCGTGTTACGATTTGCATCTTCCTCGGAGCACTCCGTGCACATGGATTGGTCCCATGTGATCGCTTGTTAGGTTCTTTGGAGTCTAGTGAGCATGCGAGAAAAGAGCGATCACCGTGCAAGCTCTTTGCATGCCACTTCCCCTCCCCTCAATGTACATCCGTGTCTTACCCTTCAGCGGAGCAATTTATAGATTTACTACAGCAACAATAATTCCCGCCTCTTCCCCGTGTACAGAGGAAGGGGAACTTTACATAATGATGAAATAACGTTGTGCTTTCAAGTGCGGTCTCGGCTTCCTGGCACACACAGTGGGAGAATGGGGGTGTTCGAGGGTCATCTACCAGGGCATCTATCTGAGATTAACTGAATAACTGAGTGTTGTGTAAATAATACATGGAACATGTATTATTTACACGTGCATTCTGTAAAATATATGGAGTATTGAACTTCCAGAGAATAACTTCTGCCACACTTTTTTATTGTTAAATGCTGTAGGGTTAGCCACAGCAATTACGTATGCTGCTGATGCTAAGATGTAGCTGTGTATGGTGATGTGTACCCAAAGTTGTCTGCATTGCTGCGTGTTTCAGTGCCTATTCTCTGTCCTATGGTGAGGAGTCCTGTAAGATGGATTCATCTGAAATGTTCTGTTCTGTGAAGACACGACTTAAAAGTACAAAAGCAATCAAACGACACAGAGTCCCAGCAGTCCTTTCAAGGACAGGCAGAGGACAGTATGAATATTTCAGCCTCTTACAAATAACCCTGTGGAGGACCTACAGCAGGAGCTAAATGCTTAAACCACTCCTTCTCCTTAAGTGCCATAAATTGGCTTCTCGGTTCCCTCGCTTGGGTTACAGAGCGATCGGCTTTCAAAGGGCCGCAGCCTAAGGACACGCAGTGACAGAAGCCATAGGGCGTGGCTGGTTTTTTGTCTTCTGTTTGTCCACTTGGTAGCAGTGTAGCATGGGTGAGTAAGGAGGAGGACTCGTAACCGAAAGGTTGCTGGTTCGATTCCCTGCTGGGACACTGCTGTTGTACCCTTAGGCAATGTACTTCATCTATAATTGCCTCAGTTAAACATCCAGCTGTATAAATGGGTAACATTGTAAAAAACTGTAACCGATGTAAGTCACTCTGGATAAGATGCCAATAATGTAATGAAGCTTGTACATTTTACATGGGCTTTTTAAATGTGCTTTTAATGTAATTTCTTGTTTATGACTGTGTATACCGTGATGTAGGGTTAAAACATGCTTTGTGCAGAAGACCAAAGAAGTGTCCTAGTGAAGAATATTACTTTCTGATCAACTTACTGATATGTATATAGGTGTGACT